ATCAGCTGCCGACAGACAGACGATAGACAGGCTGCTGACAGGCTGCTGCACAGACAGACTGCCGACAGGCGGATGATAGACAGACCTGTTAGGATCTGCCCAACTGCCGATCAGGCGGAAAAGACAAACCAGATTGCTGCGCCCATGTAAGAATAGGTGGGAGAGAGTCGGGGAGAATGGTGAAGAGAGGATCTGCCGGGCGGTCAGTCCCGGATAAAGGATTAAGTCAATGCAACGTAAGGTCTGTGGATTTTGTGGAGAGTCCACGTAGGACATGTAGTATGCGTCAGTCCATCCTGTCTGACGTCCTGTCCGCCATGGCCTGTCTCATGGAACGGACAAAGACTCAACAGCCGTCCTGTCTCACAGATCAGTGGATCGTCGGTCTATTACCCCTAGACCCTAAACCCTGGACCGACTTGCACTTCTGACAGTAAGTGGAGAAGGGATGCATGGCATCGAGTACACGGAGAGCGATGCGCGTTCCAGCGACAGCGACTCCAGCAGGGAACCGACAGCGTCGCCTATTTCGAGCGCCAGCGGCGCCGGCTCTGCGCCAAGCACGCCATCAGCATCCTGTGCCAGGAAGAGCTTGTCTCTGTCCAGTATTTGAATACCCTTACCGAGCAGCTCTTCGAACGACACTGCGCGCGAGACAAGGCCTGCATGGCCATGCGTCGGCACCAGTGTCAATTGCACTATCCGTGACGAGCTCTACTTTGCTGACGGCGACTATCATCAGCAGGTCGTCTTGGATGGCCTCGAAGCGAAGGACCTTCAAACATGTCTCAGGTCCGCAAACCTGTCAGGCACCACCTGCCATGACCTGCCTACACATCCATGCACGTGCACCACTACAGGTCACTTTTGTGAGGAGAGAGTAATCTCAATCTGCTCTGCTACGCTCTTTAAGAGGACACGTGTATCCTGTGCATCCTGCAAGGGATCATCATGATGATGGTCAAGTGGCGGATGCTGGTGTTGATGACGTTCCTTCTCGTCGGCGGGCACACTCCGCCATCCCCCACGAGGACCGAGCATCACCACGACAACCAGCAGGCCCACAACCTCCAGCACGGCCCCTCTGAGCACGAGGTCTTCCTCAAGAAACTCGAGGCGCCCGCTGTGAGGAACGGCAAACACGGCTGCATCGTAGAGTGGCATTCTCCATCCAACCGCTACGCATGTACGTCTGCAGGGAGGGGTGGAAGATGGCAGGGGAGGAAGGATGCATGGCGCTGAGACCTGCGCTGCTGTGCTGTGCGTACTGCAGGGAATCTCTGTGCAGTGGGTCTCATGGAGTGGTGCACTTCCCACAATGCCACGGAGACCTTCTACTGCTTCAAATTCAAGTTTGGCGTAGATCTGCAATGTGGCAACATCTCGGCTCCGGCCATAGCCACACGGACGAGTCGCGCCGGCTGGACAGGTGGGGAAACGCCGATGGTGCCCAGCACATACGCTTACACTCGTGTGTGCTGACTGTACTCGGTCAATTCAGACGTCTGTGTGAGCTGTAGTGTGCTGGGCCGCATGGGCGACATGGATTCGCCCAATGGACCAGGACGCGCCGGTCAGCTAATGAACGCCACACACGGACGAGTGCTATGTCCATGTGCTGGATGCATTTGTGTGCAGCTAATTGTTCAGAGGTACTTCAAAGACGACCCACTTTTCCCCATGCCGACCCTCTCTGAGGGAAAAGACACTGACACGAACCCACCCAACACATACGCCTCCCCAGGGTAAGTCACAGATGCACAGCAGAGGCACAGCACATCACAACAGCTTCCTTCCTGTAGGTATCCTACTATAGCCATGCCCCAGATGCACGTGCCCCAAGAGGTTGCTATACCTTCTGTTGGTCATCGGCCTGCTGATCTGGGGAATGCGCGGCTACATGGCCTTGAGTGCGAGCCGCGGTCAAGCAAAGGCAGAGCCGCCCGTGCGGCCCACGTTTGCAATGTTCGCCCAACACGCCGACTACTACCGACAAGAAATGTAAGTGAGAGAGAGAAAACGATGGATGCGGAACATGGAAAAGGACACGTGCGTACGTGTGCCTTTCATCCTTGTGTTATATACCTTAGGAGGCAGCAGAGGCAGGCCGTCAAACAGCAACAGAGCCAGCAGCAGCGGCAGGTAGACGTCATTTCAGCGATCCACCCATCACCCATTCACGCCGTCCCGTTGTGTGATGCATTTTCGGTTCAGGATGAGATCCATGATATGTACGAGGAACGCCTGCGAGAAATGGAGCGGGAGTCGCTGTAAGCAGCCAAAAATTCATGACGCGGATATCTCACTCATCCATTCATGTCTCTCTGTGTCTACTCAGATATTGGCAGGAGGCGGGGATCAAGTATAAGGTCTTGTGTGAGAAGCTGCGCGCCATGACTGCTTATGGCGGCACGCTGCCCCAGGAGCTCATGGACACCCACATGCACCACTTGGTAGGAATACATATACTGTACGCTAACACACACATCATGACCGTCTGCCGATGTCCGACTCGCTGCAGGCCGCCAAGTATCAACTCCCCTCGCCGAACATGACCACCACCAACAAAAAGACCCCCAACGTACCACCCACAGGTGAGCTGACACAGGATGCACGCACAGGATGACCATCCATGGTGATCCTTTCCTCTTTCTGCCTGTAGCTGCCTTCTCCGTGCCCTGCCCTGTGGACACGAGTGAGCTGGCCAACACACTCAACAAGCTGGCCCACAAGGACCAGCCAGGTGAGGAGCGACACACGTGAATGTACCTGTAGACCCCAGCCAAGATGTGCTGTCCATTCATATGTGTGGTGTCCTTGTCCAATGGGTTCTTGTTGCAGTGCTGCACGGCGAGGCCTCTGGTTGTGATGCTGAGTACGGCACCAGCCGTCCCGCCACCGACATCAAGGGTGAGAAGAGCAAGAGATCCATCCATACATAGAGCAGACCTGAAGTCTCGCTCATTGCGCCCTGTGTGTGCCTGCAGGCGCCCCGATGGGCACGGTGGCGTCACTCACGGCCAAGTACGATGGTGCCAGACTGTTTGCTCCCTCGCGTGCTGCTGGTGGTACGCATGCACGAGACAACAGTGACACACTTTTGCGGAAGGGATCTCGCATTTGTTGCAGTTAGGAGTAAGTGCGTGTTGAAGCCGGCGACCCTGCAGGGTGCGACTGCCCCTTCATCCTACGTCAACCCAATGCCCGCCAGCAATAAGCGCGTCCGTTTGTGCATACACAAACAGACAAGACACATACATAGATGCACACGCGGTCTCCATTTTATCCTGCGTTGCAGTTGAGTACACGGTGAAGGGCACCCAGACGTACCTGCGTGAGCAGCACGACGGCGGCGTGCAGACGATCTACACGCCTCCCACACAGGCCATCTATCGCGGCGAAAGATACGGCCACAACTACTACAACGTGTCTAAAGAAGCCAGTAAGCCATTTCAGACACACCACACAAGTGAGGCATTCGCCCATCCATTTATTGAGCTCCGTTGTCCATTTAGATGTGCATGGTGCGTTAGCCCCCACACACCCCGCACTGCTGGCCTCCATGCGGTCCTCCCGGAACTATGGCGGCGCGTGCAGGGCGACTCAGGGCATGCAAACCGAGGGCGCCATCGTAGAGGGCACCATGCGCGACCGGTACGCAAAGAGGGAGGGACACTCAGACGGCACAGGAAAAAGAACGGACGGCACAGACACCCATTTGTGGTGTATCTCCCTCCTTCGCTTCGCGCTTTCAGTATCAGTGTGCGTTCGTATTATTTGGCGGAGGCCAACCCGACCAGCACACCCGAGACCAACTGGCACGAGGTAACCAACCGCCTCACACGGAGACACACCTCACGAACGCGAGACGGATGGATGAATGGATGTGTGTGTGTGTGTGTGTCACCCACCCACCAGGCGTCCATGGTCGAGCTGGACGTTTGCCATTTCTTCTCTATCCTTACCTGCCCTAATCATCTGTCTACTTATATTTGTTGTAGTTGATGATGCTTAAATGCCGCGACCCGCATGGTGAGACCGCGGCGCCCATCGGCGCGCATGCGCCACCAGCCATGCCGACTTCGTCCCATTTGATGCAGCAGCACTTCCGCCACCCGCCTACCATCGCTGCATCGGGTGCGCTGGCCCCGCATGCCCCTGGCTGGGGCTTCATTTCACCCGCTGCCGCCATGGCGCCCCAGCGTGCCCCACAAACAGCAGCAGCACCGCAGCGCCACGCCGTGGCCGTCCGCCCCAACATCGCCGCTATCCCGAGGGCCACCCCAGCTGCGTCGAATGCCAGGGAGGGAGAGAGGAGGGTGGAGGAGAGGAGGGAGCGTGAGGAGGAGAGGGAGAGGGATGAGGAGGAGAGGGATGAGGAGACTGCCGCAGGCCAGCAGGCCGAGGACGCCCACACACACCGACACACACCAACAGCAGCAGCAGAGGGCAAGGAGAGGGCCGAGGGGGACCACTCGCAGCAGCAGCAGTAGCAGGACAGCCCGGAGGCGGCGACGGCCGTGCCGGCGGCAAGTGCGTCGGATGTGAGCCCGTCATCCCCTATTGACGCACCCACCTGCGTATTGGTGGGCTGAGACACGTACACCTGATGTACACGAATTCGCATGTCTCTGTACTTCTGTGTGTGTGTCAGATTGCTGCCTACATTTTATGTTCCGAGGCTCTTATCCATCCACCTCGCCGCCCACCCGCAGCGCCGTCATGCCCCGAGAAGGAATCCGAGGAATTACGAGAAGGCTGGTTTGTCTTGTTCTTCTTACCCTTTTCGATTCGTCACACAGGGTTCTGCAGGGAGGACTTCCGAGAGGCCAGGTGGCCCGACACACCCCTCCTGTGTGCCGAGAGCATCGACAGCCAGGCTGACGAGATCCTTCACACGCCTCGTCGCCCACCGCCCAGCCATCGGCCCCAACCGGCTCCCTCCACGGCCGGCGTTCCCCCCTCCCCGCACCGCCTACCCGCCACAACCACGACCCGGCACAAACCTACCCGTCCACTGAGTGCCCCCTCCACCCCGCCCTCCGCTCCTGCTGCGGACCACCGAGCACCAGGCGCCGTCAGCGGCAGCAGCCGCTGCCAAGAAGGACGGCAAGGAGCTCTGCAAAAAGGGCTCCCGAGACGACGAAACCGGCCCACCAGCGGTATATGCACTCACTGTCAGACAGGCGGCATTTGTGGGATTGCGTCTTTCTCTGTCTATCAGCGTCGACGAGAAGCTGCAGCGGACCCTCCCCCACCGCCCCGCCATCCGTCCCAACCGGCCCCACCATCAGCTGCAGCAGCATCCGGCTCGCGGACGCCGGGGATGTGGCCAGCGGCAGGTGGCCTCACTTGAGGAAGATGTGCGCCATCCCCACGCACACCGACGGCACCGACGTGCCCGAGGCCGCCAGCTGCTGCCGCATCCCTGTGATCCGGAAGCGGGTCAAGGAGGACAGGAGGTGGCTGTTCCAGGACCGGTATGAGATGGTCGTGCACAACATCATGACACACCTGGCCATCTCACGCCTGGCGCAGCCACCCTCCCCGTCTGACCCGCCCACCATCGCCGACGAGCAGCAGCAGCAGCACGCCCCGGCCGGCGTTATGTCCGACCCCATCGCCCACTTCTACAGGGAGCTGGTGGCGAGCAGCAACTACGGGTGGTGCGGCCTGGCGGCCACAGGCAACCCCTTCTTTGCTGACATTGCGAAGGTAGGCACACGAACGATGCCGGCAGAGACTCTACAATGTGATGACCTGTGTGTCATCTCTCTCTCCGTGGTCATTGTACATACAGGAGAAAGGGGACGATCCGCTGGGGTTCGTGCAAGGAGGAAGCGATTGCTGCCTTCATTTTATATTTGACGGATGGCTTTGCTTCAAATCCCCCGCCTCACATCGTTTCTCATCCCATCAATGTGAGCACAATCAGAGAGAGTGGCAGACTCAAGAGTCAGGGGGCGGCATGCTGTCGTCTGTAGACACAGGAGCTCCAAGACAGAAGCAAAATCTCCCAGGTGGTGTGGGGCACCTTTCTTCGCCACACCTTTCCTGGCCTGCGGGAATGGGCAGCGGCTTGGCGAAAACGAGACGACCACGGCCATCAAGGTGTGCGAGGCCGACGAAGTCCTGCCGCCCGACGACGCCCGGATAATGACGGTGCCCCTCTATCCCCCCGGCCCCCCCACCAGCTGCAACTCGGTGCTGCCGCTGCCCGAGCAGCGGAAGCCGCTGCTGATGCAGCAGCACGGCCTCCACACCGAGGAGGATTGGGCGGCGTGGCGGGCCGAGAAGGCCACCAAGTCGGGGCTGGACCTCGACGACACGGGGGAAGTGTGCAGGTCGCTGCAGACGCTGGGGGTGGAGGGAGTAGAGCAGGAGGTGGCGCGAGTGGTGATGGTTAAGGACATGTTTGACAAATACATGATGATGCGTGAGGTGAGTCACACACATACGTGAAAGGGGAGATGACAGACGGAGGGAGATGCGCTCATCTGTCCTGTCTGTGCGGTGTGTGTGCAGACCGTGGTGCCGGTGCTGGATAGCGAGTATGACAGCGCCCTCTCCAGCGCCACAGCCGAGGAGGACATCTTGGCGGCCGGGATGAAGCGGGCCAGGGGCGAGAGCAGCGGCAGGACATTCGTGTGGGGGGACCTGACGCCGTCCAACGCCCTGGTCGCCATCAGCAGATACGAGCTGCAGCTCAAGGCCGGGGGCACGGGTCGGTTCGTGCTGCCGAGTGTGGTCTTCATCGACCCCAGCGGCACGTCTCGCGGCACGATCTCGGCCCTTTCCGGCAAGACCAGCTACGAGACCATGGAGAACAAGCTGCTGGCCGAGCTGCGGGAGAAGCTGCCTGAGGGCGTCGACTGGGGCGACGTGGCGGGCTCGCTGCTCGATTACGGGTGGGCTGACGAAGAGGAGGGCGTCGAGAGCGGGGGCGCTGACGGCGGGGAGGACTTCTGGTCGGCCACCAAGTCGGCCATGGAGGCCCTCCACCCGCCCGGCGTGTACGTCTCGAGACACCTGCCCCCTCCCCCAGGCATCGACGTCGACAAGGCGGCCTTCTTGTACGCTAGGACCTTTGAGCGCAGGGACCGGTTCCCGCAGCAGGAGAAGCACCTGGAGCGCATGGAGGAGCTGGGCAAGACGGCCGCCTACGAGCGCATCTACACGGAGGAGCTCTTCAAGGCCAAGTGGCCCGACACGCTCCTCCTGTGTGCCGAGGGGATCGACAGCCAGGCTGCCTGCCATGCCAAGGCCGACGAGATCCTCGGCACACTGCGCGACCGCCACGTGCCGGCTTCGCTGGTCGACCCGGTGGACCAGTGGCGGAAGGAGGGCGTGCAGCTGGAGCGACTGGTGGGGATGGTGAATGAGAAGGACATAAGCCTGCTGGAGGCCGCCACAGCCATCATCTATACCCACACCAGTGCGAGGGCCGACGAGAGGGGCGAGAAAGGGCGGCTGCCCTTGATCAGCGACCAGCTGGGCCAGCTGCTGCAGGGGTGCGATGCCGTGCCCTTCATCCTGCCCCCCTGCCCAACCCCCTCCCCCTCCCCCGCCCCCAGCAGTCGAGTCTGACGGGGATGGCCGGCTCCCTCCCGCCCCCGCCCCCACTGCTCACAACCCAGAACACCACAATCAGACAGCCAAGCAGACGACGGCACAGAAAGGGACGGCGATGGCGATGGCGTTGGCGATGGCGAGGAGGCTGGTGCGGCAGAGGACAGCAGCTGCGGCGGGGAGGACGACGATCGCAACAAGGAGGGGTACTACGATCGTGCATGTTCTGCATGTATTGGGGAGAGGGGAGGGGTTGGGAGGGGATGGACCGGCGGCAAGTGATTGAGGAGTCCATCGTCGTTGAGGAGGGGAGGAGCCTGTGGGTGCTGATGATGCATCTCGTGGTGCTGTCATGGATCTGGAGGAGCCGTCTGATCCACCTGCCGACGATCAAGAACACCAGTCGCCGACCAACCAGAGGCCGCTGGCGTGGTTGAGGAGACAATCGAAGGGGAAGAGGCGGCCACATGACGGCAGTGAGGATGACGGCAGTGCTCGCTGCCCGCCGCCACTGCCCGCCGCTGCTGGAGGCCGTCATGAGCGTCATGGCCGCCGTCAGCGACAAGGTGCCCTGCCAGCGCTGACGACGAGGGCCGGGGCGAGGGAGAGGGCAATGATGGCGATGAGATGGACATGGCCGAGCATGGCAGCGGGGCGGCGCCTGAGAAGGACGAGGATGAAGAGCAGGAAGACGAAGACGACCGCAAAGAGCGGAAAGAAGGAAACGGAGAGGGGCATCTGCAGGTACACACACACACACACACACACACACGTGAGTGCATGTCTGTCTGTATAAGTGTTGTGCTGCTTTTGTGCCTGCTATGGTCTCTAGGTTCGTCTCGTGCCGCTGTGGCCAGGGGGAGGGCCCTCTCGACCGCTACGCCGAGGAGCGGTCGAGCGAGCTGCGTCGCCTCAACCACCACACGAGCACCTACATCAGCTGGCACCCCGATGGCAGATGGCAAATCTGCGTCCGCCACGACGGCAAAGCGCGCTACGCCGCCATCCGCCCAATCCTGCACCCGAGAAGCCATCGACGGGGCCCTCGAGGAGGCCGTCGACAAGCGCAACAAATTGCTCGAGACCATGGGCTGCCCACCCATCCGATGACGCCAATGGAGCTGAGCTGAGCTGAGCTGTCACTGGCCATCGCCACGACAGCCCATTGCTGCGTACATTTTATATCCGTTGCCCTATTGTTCGCACTTCACCGTCCTTCCGTGTGTCAAGGAATTTACATGACTGACATGACGAGGTGCGGAGGGCGAGACACCGCATGGACAAGACACGAAGGGTCAAGGAGAATGTACCACGGCAAAGTAAACAAAACAATCAGCGACGCTTGCAGCGTACGAAAGATCCTATATATGTGCGTCTGGTGGATTTGTCAGAGGCTGCGTGTGTTGGGGTAGATCCCGCCGTGTAATGCCACTGCATGCTGAGAACCCTGAGCACTCCGAACTGTCCCTCCTTCTCGTGAACCGTCCCTCTGGCTCATCTGTTGCCTTAACGGGCAACGACAGCGATCCTCTACAGCCACTCTCATCTACCGACATGGGCGCAGCAAGTCGTTCTGGCTGTCGCTGCTGAGCCAAAGATCTGCCCAGATCTTCGTCACCCCGTCGTCCATTCGACCTCCCTCGGTCTTCCCTCAGACCCCCACACTCGCCGCTCGACTCCCGTCGACTCCCCTCGCCTCCTGACCAAGCTCCGCCACGAGATCTACGACCACCATGAGCGACTACATCAAGCTCAGTTTCAGCGATGTACCAACCTTCTCCGGAGATGAGAAGGACTACCCTGATTGGGTACGGTACTTCCGCACCATGCTGGGGTTCGAGGAATCGGCCCTTCTGCGGGACACGGCGCTCGATGAGCACGTGCCTATCTCGGTGCACCAGACGAAGCTCGAGGAGCTTCTGACGCGTGAGCAGGAGATCGAGGACAAGGTCATCACCGCCGAGTACACCAAGGAGGCCAAAAAGGGAGAGCTGAAGCAGATGCACAAGCAGCAGGAGAAGCTCAGGGCATCCATTCAAGCGGCCAAGCGGCTCCACACGCTGCTCGCCTTCGCCTGCAAGAACAGCTCCGCCAAGTATATCCTCGAGCAATACGAGGAGGGCGTCAAGGACATTTACGACGAGTTCGACGGTGTGCTGGCCTTTAAGAGGCTCAAGGCAAAGATGGAGTCCAACCCCGCCTTCGCCGAGTTCTCAGCGCAACGTGAGTTCGACGCGTTCATCTGGGACCTCAAGAAGTCGGCCCTGGACAACAACGCCGAGTTCAAGCGGCTGGCTGGCAAGGTCAACGCGCAGAAGGAGGTGCTCACGGCCACAGCGCTCAAGCACGCCTACATCAAGGTAGTGCCGACGGCCTACAAGCTGCCGATCAGCGAGAAGATCATCAAGAGCAACGTCACCCTCGACAACGCCATGGAGAGGGTGCGCAAGCTCGAGACAGCAGCAGCGATGATCGGGGCATCGCATGAGCAAGACGCGAGCATGGGCGTCGGTGCGGCCACGACGCCAATGGACGTTGATGAAGGCGCAAGGGCGGCTGGTGATGGTGAATCCATTTACTGCAAGTACTGCCTCAACGACGGCCACCACCACTCGGACTGCAAGCGGCTGACGCACGACAAAAAGATGTACGGCATCACCCTCTTCCCGAGCAGCCACCGCATGAAGCGCGCTGCAGAGCTGCTCAACAGCCACCTCGAAGAGGTCGAGCGCAAGGAGAAGGAGCGCGTCATCAAGGACAACAACAAGGGCAAGAACAACAAGTACAACAAGGGACATGATGGTGGTGTGCGTCGTGATCGACATCGTCGGCGCGAGACGCCACGAGACGACCAGCGGAATGCTGACCGACACAGACGCAATCGCTCACTCACACCGGTACAGGGGAGAGAGGAGGGGCACACACACGTGCATGCTCTTGAAGAGAGGCAGCACAGAGAGGTGTACACACAGTTGGATGGCTGCAAGGTCTCAGAATATTATAATATATATATATATATGTATATATTCTCGCGTGATGTGGTGATGCCACCGGTCGGGAACGATCGACGCGCTGAGACGACACACGACACACAGACATGCTTGTCTGGGAGAGAGCCGTGTGTAGGGGAGGGAGATCGGGTGAAGCCTGATCAACTTCTGCCGGTCTCCACTTCCCATCGACCCGCAGCTGAGGAGGGGGTTCCCTCAGTTGTCCAGTGCACAACACGCATTGCATGCTTCACGTCTGCTGTGTTATCTGTGGAATCCAGAGCACTGGTTGATTCGGGCTGCAGTTGGCATGTCTTTCCCTCTTCTCGTTACTTCATCAGGCTCGAGACACTCATGGGTCGCTCTCTGACCGTCGCGGACGGCAGGAGCATCGCCGTGATGGCGGTGGGGGAAGTGGTCGTTCCCGTTCGATGTCGCCACGACGTGGTGCCAAGGCACATAGGAACATCGTGTACTACCCACCTAGACAGGTGTGGTTCCCTCGCCGTGGAATCGGTGAAACTCTCCCGTGCTCTACTGGTGCCTGATATGGCATTTACTTTGATTTCAGTGAGTGCGTTGGAGGACGATGGCTACCGAGTGGTGTTCGATGCTAATGACTATCACATCGCCCACACCAAGACAGGGATGACCATCCCATTCAAGCGCGAGAGTGATCTCTATGTGCTGGACTTCGCTGAATGCG